GCTGACAATCTTTCCGTCGAATCTCGGCTGAGTGAACTTTGCTACGGGCCTACACCACAATTAGTACACCTCATACGCGCGACTTGGTCGCGTCGCGCGAAGTATACCCCGGGCCACAGCTAGTTCCCTTCGCACTCAGGCTTTTAGCGGATTGCAGTATTGTCTTCCGATGAGCACAGTCTAATTGCTTATCGCATCCATTATCATTCATCGATATCAATAGCTGTCGATGGATGATGATGCTTCCCATACAATGACGCGACTATTATATTATTATCTCCATTCTTCATTTACACTTGCACGGCAGGATGAAGTGTAGCGATGCGGTTCGCGTATCCCAAGGCACCCGTACTGCCCTCTCTTAGCGAAGATTTTCTACCTTTACTTCGGAAAAAATAAACCGTTGAAACAGAGAAAGATCGAATAAGTAAGACAACAGAAGGTGGAAAATGTTAGTAAAACACTTCACTCGTGAAACTGAAATTATTCGATCTCGTACGCAGCAACGAAAAGTGGTAGCATTACAGCAAATGAATAAATCAAAGGAAGCAATTACAAAAATGTCTGCCTCTGGGTGATTCTCTTCTGAACATATACTAAAATTCGAACAATACAAAGATGATCAGCATCACTCCTGCGCAAGGATGGAACGCATTTGTGAAGAGTTCCAAAATTTTTTGTTCATTTTCTCTCAAAAGAAGGGAGTGTTCACATTAAGTTGCGCACAGATCGAATATCGCAGAAGCTTCCGGTACCCTAGCTGATGTGCCCAATAGTGGTCATATTGTCGTGCAGTCCCAAAGCAGCAATGTTTCCATGCATTGCTCACCACCGATAAACATTGCTTGCGCTGCAAAAATGTAAACCTTCTTCAGACTGCAGATCTCCTGCTCAAATGCCTCTTAACTAATGCCACATTTTTAATTAAAAAGGTGGGCATCTTGCTTATCTGTATGTACTTACCACGGAAGGGTAAGTAGTTGGTGGAACGATAACCAACGGAACTGGTACCATGATAGATCCTGGTATAACTAGAAAAACCCTGAAGTAAGCGTAAATTTTTGTTTGCCAGGAGTTACGATGTCGCAAATGTCACTTAATTTTCTATGAGATACACCAAAAATGGAGCGTTCTTCGTATTAAAAGAGCAAATTTCGGCTCAGATACGTTTCTCTGTAAATATGCTATCGATCTAATTCATTTACAGAGCATACTAGCGGAAAATACTCCAATCAGAAATCTTCTATTGCCATACAGGTTGATAATATCATACTTTATTGCCTAACGTTTCGGCTTTTCGCCGTCTTTCGAAGGCGGCGAAAAGCCGAAGCGTTAGGCAATAAAGTGTGATATTATCAACCTGTACGGCAATGGAAGATTTCGGATTGAATTCAAAGAAAATGTCAAGGTTTTATGAGAAGAGAACATTTGAGTTACTTCGAGGAAAATACTCCATTTTTGTTATTTTTCATAGTGAATTAAGTGACATTTGCGACGTCTAACTCTGGGTAAACAAAAACTTAAGCCTTCGCACTTCAGGGTTTTTCTATTTACGCCAGAATCTGTCGAATAGTACTGGTCCCATTCGTCATCGTTCCACCAACTATTTACCCTTTCCTGCTTAGGTACAAAGTGAGATTAACCTCACAGAAGTCGACGAACTCTTAGATCTAATTGAGATTTCTGTTGGAAGTTTCAGTTTTGACGCCTACTGCGAAAAAATATATTACAAAGCTACTAGGATCACGTACGCCTTCTCACTCTCTCTACTAAAGACGCAAATATTATTTTGAAAACTTATAATGGGGTGCGTGAACTTCTGCACCCGCGACTAGTCGCCAGCCGAACGGAGGTCATGAACTGGCAGTAAGAGCGCTCGTCTGCTAGACCTCGCACATCAGTATACTACATAGATCCCAAGTTGACAGTGCACAACGCAGTACACTGGTAAAGAAAGAGGTGCCAAAACGGCTTTGAGCGACAGTAATCAGATAAATTTCAAATAAATAAGTTTCGCCTTTATTTTCCGTTTTTCCTGATTTCTTTTTACTTGCTTGGTTTCACTGCTTCTTCTGTCGTGTTGTTTTATAAGCGCAGCTTGAGTGCATTTAAATAAATGAAT